CAATGTATTGCTTCTCCGTTTACATGTCGGACACCGGCAGCGATGGTACCGTCGCGCGCCCGGACGAGCTGGGTTTGCTGAGGGCGTCGCACGACAGGAGCATGGGAATCTTCGCCTGTGAGAAATGGGGCATCTTCAGCGATGCGGCTGGCGACCTGAAGCCTGGCGTTCCCTTCGTGGCTGTGGACGACGTGGACGGCGACTTCCACATCCTGAAGCGCAAGGAGACGGGCTCTTGGGTCAACACAGGCTTGCACACCCAGGTCTGGAAGGCGGTTCTGGCAGCCGGAGATTACAGGAGCGCCGACTGGGTCGTGAAGGTGGACTGCGACGCAGTGTTCCTGCCCAGCCGCCTGAGGCCCTTCCTCGCCTCCCAGGGCGTGCCCAATCCCCTGCATGGCGTCCCCGGCATCTACCTTGAGAACTGCAAGTTTGTGAAGTGGGGCTGGTTCGGGAACCTGGAGATCATGTCGCTCACGGCCGCGGACACGCTCTTCGCGCACATCGACTGGTGCAAGAAGACCCTGGACTGGAAGACGGGGGTGGAGGGCGGGAAGTACGGGCCGATGGGGGAGGACCTCTTCGCACAGGTCTGCCTGGACTCCGTGGGCGTGCGCAGGGGCGGGGCGTTCGAGACCGTTCTGGACGGAGCCTGCGAAGCCGATCGTCCCGACGACCAGAAGAAGAACAAGAAGTGGAAGCCCGAGTGCACGGAGAAGAAGATGGCGGCGTACCATCCGCTCATGAAGGTGGACGACTTTGTGGCCTGCTACGACCGGACGGTGCAGGCCTTCGGGTACTGAGCTCTGGGGCTCTTTTCCGGGTCAGCGTCGCACGATGCCAGCGGAAATTCGCGAATGGGAGCGCACGGGCCCTGCGAGTCGCTCTACAAGTGGCGCTGTCATAGCAGACATCCCGAAGGGGATCTGAGGCCACGCGCTCTTTTTGTTGTCCCTCTGATGTTCCGCGAGCCAACGTCGCCGTGTTTGACTGTCAGATGGGTCCTATGGTTCTTCCTTCGGCCACGCGTTTGTTGTTGTCTCTGTTGTTCCACGAGCCAACCTCGCCGTGCTTGATTAGCAGATGGGTTCTGCCCTCCGCTACGGACCAGACAAGGTGTGCGCCACGCGGAGGTCTCGACATGTGTTGACATGCTTCTGCATCCGCGGGCCCTCACCAGACCCTGGGAGTCAAAAAATGGCTCGGGATGAAAACCTGGTCCCGGAGAAAGGGCCGTGACCTCTAAGGATCGAAGTT